GGGGGAAATAGGGGGGGAAAAAAACAGCGCGCGGAACCGGGCCAGGTGAGAGGCGCGTGCACTCAGGGTCGTGGACCTGGGGGGGCGTGCCACGGAGATTTGAGCGGGGGGGGCGTGTACAATGCGTGCTGGTAGCGGGGTGGGGGCAGGGTAGGAGGACGTGAAAGGCGCGTGCAAACGTGCAAGGGGGGGCGGAAGAGCGAGTAAAAGGGGGTGGGCTGCAGCCCGGGCCACCCGGGAGACCAGAGCCCCAGGCCTCAGCGCCCCCTTTCTCCGACCTTCCCCCGCGGTCGCGGGCAGGCTCACCCCATCCTCGCGGGCTGTCGGGTTGGGGGTGTGTGGACGCCTCTGCCCCGCCCCCGGGAACCACGCCTCCCTCCTCTGGAGGGACAGCGCCTCCCTGAGGGCTGGGGAAACTGAGGACTGGGCTGAAGACTGGGAGACCTGATGCTGGGGGGTCGGGGCCTTGGAATAGGGGCGAAGGGCCTGGAGCCTTGGCTTAAGGAGAGGCAGAGACCTTTGTCTCTGAACGGTTTCCTTCCCAACTAGGGTTGCCCACCCCCGCCACAATGGCCTCTGGGGTGGAAGTCCTGCGCTTCCAGCTGCCTGGCCACGAGGCTGCTACGCTGCGGAACATGAACCAGCTCCGCGCCGAGGAGCGGTTCTGCGACGTGACCATCGTGGCCGACAGCCTCAAGTTCCGCGGCCACAAGGTCATCCTGGCTGCCTGCTCACCCTTCCTGCGGGACCAGTTCCTGCTGAACCCCAGTTCTGAGCTGCAGGTCTCCCTGATGCACAGTGCCCGCATCGTGGCCGACCTGCTCCTCTCCTGCTACACTGGCGCCCTGGAATTCGCTGTCAGAGACATCGTCAACTACCTTACGGCTGCCTCCTACCTGCAGATGGAGCACGTGGTGGAGAAATGCCGGAATGCGCTCAGCCAGTTCATCGAGCCCAAAATAGGCCTCAAAGAGGACGGGGTGGGTGATGCCAGCCTTGTGAGCAGTGTCAGTGCCACCAAGTCCCTCCTCCCCCCTGCCAGGACCCCAAAGCCAGCTCCCAAGCCCCCACCCCCACCTCCTCTGCCCCCTCCGCTCCTGAGGCCCGTCAAGCTGGAGTTCCCGCTGGATGAGGACCTGGAGCTGAAGGCCGAGGAAGAGGATGAGGACGAGGACGAGGACGTGTCCGACATCTGCATTGTCAAGGTGGAGTCGGCCCTGGAGGTGGCCCACCGGCTCAAACCTCCTGGAGGCCTTGGAGGGGGTCTGAGCATCGGAGGCTCTGTGGGCAGCCACCTTGGGGAGCTGGCCCAGAGCAGCGTGCCCCCTAGCACTGTCGCCCCACCACAGGGTGTAGTGAAAGCCTGCTACAGCCTGTCCGAGGACGCAGAAGGGGAGGGTCTGCTGCTGATCCCCGGAGGCCGTGCCAGCGTGGGGGCCACCTCGGGCCTGGTGGAGGCGGCAGCGGTGGCCATGGCTGCCCGGGGGGCGGGGGGCAGCCTGGGAGCTGGGGGGACCCGGGGACCCCTCCCCGGGGGCTTCTCCAGTGGCAACCCCCTAAAGAACATCAAGTGCACCAAGTGCCCGGAGGTGTTCCAGGGCGTGGAGAAGCTGGTCTTCCACATGCGGGCACAGCACTTCATCTTCATGTGCCCGCGCTGTGGCAAGCAGTTCAACCACAGCAGCAACCTCAACCGCCACATGAACGTGCACCGCGGCGTCAAGTCGCACTCCTGTGGCATCTGTGGCAAGTGCTTCACGCAGAAGTCCACGCTGCACGATCACCTCAACCTGCACTCAGGAGCACGGCCCTATCGCTGCTCTTACTGCGACGTCCGCTTCGCCCACAAGCCCGCCATTAGGCGGCACCTCAAGGAGCAGCACGGCAAGACCACGGCGGAGAACGTGCTAGAAGCCAGCGTGGCTGAGATCAACGTCCTCATCCGCTAGCAGGGCAGAGCTGGGGCCCTGGGTGGGGTGCAAGGGGGGAACTCCCTGGCCCAGGAGAATAGGGGAATGGGGGAACGGAACAGGTGGGTACGGTGGAGAAACTAAGCAGTCACCTGGAAGGAGGGGCCGAAGATTCCTTGAAGAGACCCTGCCTCTTGAAGAAAAGGACAGAGAGAGAGGGTGCTTTGAGAAGGCTAAGGAGATGGGGGGTGGGGGTTCCCCAGAGGAGGAGTTTTCTCTTTAGAAGTGCATGGATATGTGAAGGGAGGGAAAGGGTCCTGTAGAATGAGGGGGGGAAGACTGGAAAATTATTCCTGGCTGAGGCTGCCCAGGGAGAAATTCTGACATTTCTTGAGGTAGAGGGTGGGTGGGAGGGTGGGAATTGGGAGGGAATTTGGTAGGAGGCAATTTATATGCTCCTCTTAGAATAGATCCCTGGGAGAGGGAGTGGTGGGGGAGAGGATTACTGAATCCCAGACAAGGAAGGGGAAGACAGTTCTTGCATGCTGGGGGAAGGGGGCTGTGGGTACGAGACTGGCTGAAATTCTAGGGGGAACAAAGTAAGGTGTCAGGTAAGAGAACATGGGGTGAGCATCCTGGGTAGATACTGGGAAGTGGGGTACAATAGAGGAACAGTGATAGTGTTGGGGTGGGGGTAGGGCACTTAGATGAGCAGACACAAGAAGGGCTCTTGGGGTGGGGGAGGGAGAGGAGTAGAGACTTATACAGTATTTTTTAAGAAAACAAAACGTATTTTTTAGGATTTTTTCTGGAGTTTGGGGTTTTAGTTTTTCTGCTTTGTTTTCCACAAAATAAAAAAAAAAACCTTTTTTTTCTTTACATTTGATCTGGCAACTGCGTATATATGACTCTCCCACCCTAGACAGCCTCTCCCCCCACTCATAATACCAGGTGATTGCTCACATAGGTGCCATGCCTGGGGGAGCCTCCACAGAAACGGATGTGACAAGTGTGCTCCTCTGGCCGATGACTCCAGATTGTGCAACCGCAGCGCCTAGGAGACACCTCAGCACACAAGTGACTGCGGCGCAGTGGTGATAACACGTGATCCACAATTCTGGCCGAGTTTAACACCAGCGTGGGGGGTGAACACTGCCCACCGAAATCGTGAACAGAAGCCTGTGTTTAGGCATTTCGTTCTGGGGACACTTTGGCCTCACTCAAGTTAGGGTGCCAGGCTAACTACAACTCCCAGAAAGCTCTGGAATCGCTCCTAACCTAACCGAAGAGAACTACAGTTCCTAGAAGGTCTCAATTAGCTTCAGGTGCCCTATCCTAGCCACCTGCTGTGTCAAGCTGCCAGTGAAATCTGACCTCTGGCTCCCCAACTTTGACCGTAATGTAACATCCACAGGGATGGCACCCTAAATGCTGCTATCAAGGATGTGTATCTTGGTGTAATACTATTTATTCGTGTGCTCAGGGCTGGCTGAGCTATGCCCCACGCAGAGTGCCTGACTGCTTTTCACGTGTTTGGCAAAAAACAAAAAAAAAAGGGGGGGGGGGCGTTACTTATTCGAGTCCCCGGACAGCAAAGACTCGCTGGCCGCTAGAGGCACACCTGGGCCCCCAGTGCATGTGGCAGAGTAACATGTCTGGCGAAAACAGCAGCTATGCCAGTCCGTGGGACGAGAGGCAGCATCCAGAGCCTGCCAGGGTGAAGGTGTCCCCCCCCGCGCCCCCATCGCCCCCATCCTGCTCGTTAGAGAAACCAGGCCTAACCGAACCCGAGCCTGCCACCTCACTACCCAGAAGCTAGAAAGGAACCAGAGGCGGGAGAAGCACCCGCGAGCCAGGCTGCAAGATCAGCCGCGGCAAAGAACCGGGGTCTGGGATGCTCCGCTAGTTACCTAAAACCCGGTGGGGGCGGGGAATCCCCATCCTCGGTTCCCTGCTGAGCTGTGGCCGCGAAGGGCAGGCATTCTCCCCCGCGGCCCCCAGCGCAGCACAGACACCTCCGCCTCCGGGGCCGCTCTCTGGGGGAAAATGACCCGAGAGCGCGTCGTGGCTCCTTTAAGGCTCCTCCTAGCGCTCCCTCCCCCGCCCACGTGACCCGGGGCGGCCGCGCGCCGGCTCGGCCCCCAGCGCAAGCGGCGATGGCGG